CTCTTCACTTGGAATCCTTCAACTTTTTGTCAGTGAGGCAACATGGCTTCAGAGAAGGTAGATCAACAGTAACAAACTTATTAGAATTTTATGATGAGGTAAGCCGAATCTTACAGGAAAGAGAGGGCTGGGCAGATTGCATATTCCTAGACTTCCAGAAAGCGTTTGACACTGTTCCACATGGGAGACTTATTAGGAAGCTGCAATCAATGGCTAGACTAGGTAGAAATGTTTTAGAATGGATAAAAACTTACTTAGAAGGAAGGGAACAGAGGGTTAGAGTAAGACACCCAGTGTCTGAATGGAGAAGAGTTAGTAGTGGAGTTCCACCGGGTTCAGTTTTAGGGCCACTTTTGTTCCTTGTATATGTAAATGACCTACCAGAGTCTGTAAATTCATTCATGAATATGTTTGCAGATGATGCAAAGATTGTGAAGAAAGTAAAAAACGAGAACAATGGTAGAGAACTTCAGGAGGATCTAAATAATCTGCATGAGTGGTCAGAAAAGTGGCTAATGAAATTCAATACTTCAAAATGTAAGGTAATGAGAATGGGTACAAGTGCAAGAAGGCCCAAACTTGACTACTCGGTGGCTGGAGTACAACTTCAAGAGACAGAAAATGAGAGAGATCTAGGAGTAAACATACTGGTAAATCTGTCTCCAGTAATACATATAAATGGCAGAGTAAGGGCAGCATATGCATTCTTATCAAATGTAAGGGTAGCCTTCAGGCACATGGACAAGGAAATGTTCAGAAATATTTATGTAACCTATGTGAGGCCAAAACTCGAATATGCAGCCCCCTTTTGGAATCCGCACTTGAAAAAGCACATAGCTAAGCTTGAAAAAGTTCAAAGACATGCCACGAAACTGGTGCCAGAAATACACAATCTCAGTTATGATGAGAGGCTGAGGGAATTACTTACCATCACTCGAAGCTAGAAGAGTGAGGGGGGATATGGTGACAGTCTTTAAATTCCTTCATGGTTATGATAGAATGGATAGGGATCGATATTTTGATATGGCTGGCTCTAGAACTAGAGGTCATAGTTTGAAGCTTCGTAAGAAAACTTGTTTGCAGGATGTAAGGAAATACTTTTTCAGTGTAAGAGTAGTTGATAATTGGAATTGGCTAAGCGAGGAGGTAGTTAATACTATCTCAATCCATAGTTTTAAGGACAGGTATGATAAGTATCACTAAGTATAAAATGGAACCGATGAGGAGACGGGAAGATACGAGCTTTGGGCTCTTTCCCGTAAACACAATTAGGTAATCACAATTAGGTAATCTCACACACACACACACACACACACACACACACACACACACACACACACACACACTACTAAGGAAACATATCTCTCTTCACTTGGAATCCTTCAACTTTTTGTCAGTGAGGTAACATGGCTTCAGAGAAGGTAGATCAACAGTAACAAACTTATTAGAATTTTATGATGAGGTAAGCCGAATCTTACAGGAAAGAGAGGGCTGGGCAGATTGCATATTCCTAGACTTCCAGAAAGCGTTTGACACTGTTCCACATGGGAGACTTATTAGGAAGCTGCAATCAATGGCTAGACTAGGTAGAAATGTTTTAGAATGGATAAAAACTTACTTAGAAGGAAGGGAACAGAGGGTTAGAGTAAGACACCCAGTGTCTGAATGGAGAAGAGTTAGTAGTGGAGTTCCACAGGGTTCAGTTTTAGGGCCACTTTTGTTCCTTGTATATGTAAATGACCTACCAGAGTCTGTAAATTCATTCATGAATATGTTTGCAGATGATGCAAAGATTGTGAAGAAAATAAAAAACGAGAACAATGGTAGAGAACTTCAGGAGGATCTAAATAATCTGCATGAGTGGTCAGAAAAGTGGCTAATGAAATTCAATACTTCAAAATGTAAGGTAATGAGAATGGGTACAAGTGCAAGAAGGCCCAAACTTGACTACTCGGTGGCTGGAGTACAACTTCAAGAGACAGAAAATGAGAGAGATCTAGGAGTAAACATACTGGTAAATCTGTCTCCAGTAATACATATAAATGGCAGAGTAAGGGCAGCATATGCATTCTTATCAAATGTAAGGGTAGCCTTCAGGCACATGGACAAGGAAATGTTCAGAAATATTTATGTAACCTATGTGAGGCCAAAACTCGAATATGCAGCCCCCTTTTGGAATCCGCACTTGAAAAAGCACATAGCTAAGCTTGAAAAAGTTCAAAGACATGCCACGAAACTGGTGCCAGAAATACACAATCTCAGTTATGATGAGAGGCTGAGGGAATTACTTACCATCACTCGAAGCTAGAAGAGTGAGGGGGGATATGGTGACAGTCTTTAAATTCCTTCATGGTTATGATAGAATGGATAGGGATCGATATTTTGATATGGCTGGCTCTAGAACTAGAGGTCATAGTTTGAAGCTTCGTAAGAAAACTTGTTTGCAGGATGTAAGGAAATACTTTTTCAGTGTAAGAGTAGTTGATAATTGGAATTGGCTAAGCGAGGAGGTAGTTAATACTATCTCAATCCATAGTTTTAAGGACAGGTATGATAAGTATCACTAAGTATAAAATGGAACCGATGAGGAGACGGGAAGATACGAGCTTTGGGCTCTTTCCCGTAAACACAATTAGGTAATCACACACACACACACACACACACACACACACACACACACACACACACACACACACACACACACACACACACACACACACACACACACACACACACACACACACACACACATACATATATATGACGTCCTGTGCTATCTTACTCATGTAAGGTCATCTTCTCTGAGGAACTATGGGGAATCTTTTGTCGTCGCTCTTGATATCTCCTAAGGCTTTTGACAGAGTCTGGCACAAGGATAAGGCTCAGATGGCCAAACTCCCTGCTTATGGCTTTACCCCTTTTCTCTGTTCTCTGATTTCCAGTTTCTATAACCGTATTATATCAGTGGTTGTTGACGGTGTAACAACTAGCTCATTCCCTGTTATCAGTGGTGTTCCACAGGGCTCTGTTCTTTCACCTACTTTCTTATTTCTCTTCATTAATGATCTTCAATCGCCATCCTTCTCTCTTTTCCACGCGTTTGCCAACAATTTTTCACTTAATTTTTCCTTTGCCTTCTCTTTACAGCCTTCATCTGCTACTCGTCATCAGTCTTGTATCTCTCTTTTACTCTCAACTTTGATTTGCAGAGGGTATCGGAGTGATGAACCCAAAATTAGTTAAATTGAATGCCTCCGAGACACAGTTTCTGGCTATCTCTTTATCTTCTCCTGATAGCGCTATTGTCTTCGAAACTAATGAATTTACCCTCTTAATACTATTAACTTATTAGGAATCCAAATACCTTCTAACTTGTCTTGGAGGAATCACATAATTCAAATTTCTAAATCTGCATCCAAAAAATTAGGGGCTCTGTTTCGTTTTCGTCATTGCATATCCTCTCACCAGTTACTTAAAATCTAAAAAGGTCTTATCCGTACCTGCTTAGAATACTGCTCGCACATCTGGGGGAGGGGGCTTATTCTTACACTTATCTCCTTTATAGTGTTGAATCAAAGGCAAACGGACTCATCAATTACCTTTCTCTTACTAATAATCTGGATTCTCTTTCTCTTCACCGTGAGGTAACAGCTCTCTATCTTTTCTATAGCTACAACTTCCATCACTGCTCTGATAAGTTGGTGAGTTGCATCCCTCCCCCACTGCCGAGGCGAGCATAACACTCACCAAGTGGCCTCGTCTCACAGGTACTGTGTCGAGATTTGTATCTCGAGGATTGGTCGGTGTAGCTACAGCTTCTTCCCCTCCACCTCCACACTCTGGAAGTCTCCTGCCCCTTCTGTCTTTCCTAATACTCATAACCTATTTTCCTAAAAAAAAAAAAAAAAAAAAGATCTATCGTCACCTCAGGGCCTACTCCTGCCAAAATCTCTAGGTCTCCAGAACTTTGACTATTATTTCAACCTGTTCATATTTTAGCTTTTGTTATGACGCTTATATATATATATATATATATATATATATATATATATATATATATATATATATATATATATATATATATATATATATATATATATATATATATATATATATATATATATATATATATATATATATATATATATATATATATCTGTATGTGTAGGTGTGTAAGTGTTTGTGTGTGTATGCGTGCGTACGCTTGTGTCTGTGTACTTGTGTGAGAGAGAGAGCATATATGTATGAATGCATAATGTTACCCAAAAAAATTTTCTTTATCACTGACATTATATCTGTACCATCGACCAACAGTATTCCTTTAACAATGACCCCAGTAAAAGAATTATGACGATTTCCAAGAGTTTTCTCTCTACCCAACCCCACTTCCATCAACATGGGGTGGGGGGACGAGAGATTTCATTTAATAGGCACTTTGGGGCGAGATTTAAGGGAATTGCCGCTTGATAAAATATATACAGAATAATTTCACTAAAGATATAGATTAAATATATGAAAATAAAAAAAAAATTATTATGGTTTGTATTTAATATTTCTTCTGCATTAAAAAGTAAATAGACATGTAATTATTCAAATAAATAAATGAAAAACGATAGAATCAGTGGCTTTATATTATAATAAATAAATAAATAAATAAATAAATTATGAAAAAATATGCAAAAAAACATAAAAATAATAAATTATCAGAACACAGATCTAATAAGTGAACAGACAAAAACAAAACAAATAATAAGAAACAGCGTAATGAAATAAAACTTGTAATTATATATCTACATAAACAAATAAGCACTTATATATATATATATGTATATATATATATATATATATATATATATATATATATATATATATATATATATATATATATATATATATATATATATATATATATATATATATATATATATATATATATATATATATATATATAATGTCTTTATATATTATTGCATAATATCCATATAAAATAAGAGATCTCGTCGTGGTATAATGGTTAGCAGTTTAGGCTCACAACCTAATGATCTCGGGTTAGAATCCTGGACAAGGAAGAAAGTCTTAGGCATGTTTCTCTGAATCCAACAGCCTCTGATGCTGCTCACCTGGCATGCATTCGATCGTTGCGAGTCGCACTTCAGGGATGGTGGTGCTTCCAGGCCATACACAAACACTCACGAAACTCAAAAAAAATATCTATATTTCTATCTATCTATCTATCTATCTATCTATCTATCTATCTATCTATCTATCTATCTATCTATCTATATATATATATATATATATATATATATATATATATATATATATATATATATATATATATATATATATATATATATATATATATATATATAACTATAAAAGTAATCATACAAATGGTAGGTAAACTAAATAATAATTTAATAAAAAAAAAATTAAAATAATCCATGAAAACATGACTCTATTTGTGATATATTACTTAAAAATAAACAAATAATAAAAGAATAATAAAAAAACACATCCGTTATTGGAATTCTAGGAATTGGAATAACTGTAAAATGATTCCATTTAAATCTGTTGGAATATTCAAATCGTCCGCATAATCCCAAAATATGCAAATTATGTGCAATGGAATACATTAATATAGAGGAAGAAAGAAATAACAAAATTAATATGTAAAAAAAAACACATGTAAGTAAATAAATAAATATACGTTTGTATAAATAAAGAAATATGTAATACATAAATAAATACATAATAAAAATTTATGCGTATTTAAATACATAATTAAAGGTCATCACAATACTCCCACAATAGCCGGTTGGGTCAACCAAAGAGTAAGTGGATAAATAAATAAAAAAGTACTAAATAAAATGATTCGGTTTTACGTCACTGACTCCCTTTTCTTGTACGGGCAAGGACGGTGCCTCCTTACGAAGGAATTTGATTTTGGCAGAGTGCGACCGTCACTTTGAATGAATACCCTTTCTAACCTCAGGCAGTGGCGGGTCTCGAACGACCTGACAAATCAAAGTCGTAGGCAATACCACCCAGCGGCGACGACCATAAAAATGTAAAACAAAATGTAAGATAAAAATTTGTTCCGGTTTTACGTCACGGACTCCCTTTTCAACTAAGGGCTAGGACGGTTGCCTTTTTGCGAAGGACTTGTTTTGGCAGATGTAATCGTTATCCTGAGTGCATGCCCTTGCTAACCTCAGACCGTGGCGGGCCGCGAACCCTCGACCTGACGCCTCAGAGTCGCGGACGCTACCGCTTGAGCCACGGTGACTACTAAAATGTAAGATAAAAATATAATAATAAAAATATATGCAAATAAGATATAACATTAGAGTAGAATCTAACTATCAGACAAAATAAAAACATAAATAAACAATAAATAAACAATAAATATGCAATAAATAAACAAGTGAAAAAAAAAAATAATATAAAGATATATATTCCCTTCATTTTTCAAACAAATTATGAACTTTCGGATTATATATTCTGGCGAAAAGATGATATACGAACCATGTAAGGGAGTAAAACTCTGGACTTTTTAGGTGAGAGATGAGCACTTAACTAGCTAGCAAGCGAAGACTTATTTTTACTACTTAATTATCAGTATGTTCAGACGGAGAGGTGATATACTAAACATCTACGAGAGTAGATATCGAATCTTTCAGGATGTGAGACCTGGATACTGAAGTAGCGAGCTATGGAAGACTTCTGTTTTTCATTGTCTAATTCTTCATATTTTAGGGGAGGAAGGTGATGCGAGATCCTTCTACAGGAGTGAAAACTGCGACTTTCTAGGTGAGAGCTTAGCCCTAAACCAGCGAGATATAGAATGTTACAATTCTTTTGTTCAATTGAGATGGTTACGTTCTGGCAAAGAGATGATATATGAACGATCTATAGCAGTCAATTTATAGAATTCCCATGTAAGAGTTGAGTACTGAATCAGCGAGCTATAGTAGGCATCTATATTTCATTAATCTAAGTACTTCTGTGTTCTGGTGATGGCAAGATATACGAACGACCAATGGCAGTCTCATTCAAGACTTCTAAGATGAGAGCGGGACACTGAAGTAGCGTGCTGCCAAAGGCTTACATATTATATTTATTTAATCAAATTAAATTTTACAGGTCAGCGCTGATCCAACGAGCTACCAAACACTATTATATCTTACTTATTTATTTATTAATTTACTTATTAAATGCACAATGAAAAAAAATAGGGTTCTGGCGAAGAAGTGACATACGGGCACATATACCTCGAACACGAGACTTCTGGTTGGGCGGGGGAGTGAAACAAACAAACTTTTATTTCCATTTCAATACAATGGGTATTCGTCAGCCAGGGCAAGCCCCAACGCCCCACTGTGGTGTCCAACCACAGCAGTACCTGCTAGGAAACAGCTTAAACTCTCGGTCTTGGACGGGAACCGATCTTTCGACCTCGTGAATGCGAAGTCAGCGCGTTGCCACTGATCTAGTGACCCACAAAAGTATTTCATTCTATTTCGCTCTTATTTATTTTTCACGTTATTGAGTTCAGCTACAGAAGATTCTTGCTATTTACTTTATTACTGGAAAATCAAATCTATTTTGTTCCGTGAGTAAAACTAATAAAGAAATATTATTTATGGCTTCCTAATCATTTCTTATTGATACAGGTTTCTGAATCCAACCTACGCGTGCAATAATTTTGCATGACTAGGGAATGGAGAACTTTAAGTCATGTTCTTTGTAACTAATATATATATATATATATATATATATATATATATATATATATATATATATATATATATATATATATATATATATATATATATATATATATACACGCACACACACACAGACAGACAGCCAGACAGACAGACAGACAAACACACACACACACACACACACACATATATATATATATATATATATATATATATATATATATATATATATATATATATATATATATATATATATATATATATATATATAGAGAGAGAGAGAGAGAGAGAGAGAGAGAGAGAGAGAGAGAGAGAGAGAGAGAGAGAGAGAGAGAGAGAGAGAGAGAGAAGCATATACATGAATATATATACATATATTATTCTATATATAATATTCCAATAGAAAAGTACACACACACACACACACACACACACACACACACACACACACACACACACACACACACACACACACACACACACACACACACACACACACACATTCACATAAGATATGAAACTCCCGAAAGAGCTAATGAAGTGTAAATACTACAAATCTCGATTAGTTGTAACGATATTTCTTACCTTATGATTTTAATTAAAACATACTAAGTTTGGGGCAGAAATTACAACATAAATGTTAAAATGACTTGGCTAAGTCAAACCAAATCCTTGATTCTTCATGGAAGGAATGATGTAAATTATGCATTACCTTCTAATGTAAACAAAGCGCGTATGAGTAGACCAGCTTACCTGTAAAAAAGAAGAAAAACACAATTAGTGATTGATTGTCGGTGTATGTGTGTGTGTGTGTGTGTGTATGTGTGTGTGCGCATATATATATATATATATATATATATATATATATATATATATATATATATATATATATATATATATATATATATATATATAAAGGTTAATCCACGCTTAGAAAAGCATAAACAGATAATATAACTGCTCAAAGTTTTCACCCTACATCTGGCCTCATCAGAAGTTCATCATATGGCCTGGTGGAGGGTGAAAATTTTAAGAATGTATTGCTTCTGTTTATGTCTTGGTGTACATATAGGAATATCCACATATACATATAAGCCAAAATAGTTACTTAGACTTACAAAGTAACCTCTCAAGATTGCTTAGGGGTATTTACATTATAGCATTGATAATAAAGCATAAAGGATCTTTCATAGCTCTGATGACAGAGCTAGGCTCCCACTCACGAGTCCTGAGATAGATTTGCAGAATGGTTCGTATTGCATGGTTTTACCAGAACCCACTGATACAAGTAAAGAGAGGGTAGTAATGTTCCACTGAGTTTTATTACCCTAGTAACTCAAGGGTTCTAGTGAGTAAGAAATTAGATGTGAGGAGTCAGGGGTAAAACAGTTAGTAACTTTATAAGTTCGAGTTTTGATAAGGGGAAAATGCTTGTCTTATAGTAAATGTCCTGGTTTGAAGCAGGCGGACAAATAAATTCTTCCTGACAAGCCAAATCACCTCAATATAGAAAAATAAAATAGACAAATGAAATATTCTGACGCATATATCATGTCAATACAAAATTATACACGAATTTCCATGTCAGATATAAAAATAATATTTCATGACAAACAAAATATATTGAAACAAAAATCAGACATATGATTCAATTTTCACAAACACGGATATATCAAGTCTAAACGTAAATCAGACTGAAAAATAAATTCGTGTCACTATACATTATATTTTCATTAGAGACAAATCATGTCAATACCGATATCAGACATACAAATTTCCACTGACACACATTATATCAGAACTTATATCAGACATGTAAATAAAATTCCCGAACAAACAGCTCATTTCAAAACCTAAATCAGACATAAACAGAAATTTCTTAGACAGAACAAGCCAATATATAATTCAGACATACAAATATATTCCCACGACAGACATATGTCCAAACCAATAAAAGCAAATACGTTCAAGTGACGGACACACTATGTCAAAACTTTAATCAGACATAGAAATATAAATATCCATTACAGAAAAGTCATACCAAAACCGAAATCAGACATAGAAAATAAAGCCATGACAGAAATGGAATGCCAAAACCTAAGTAAAATATAAAATAAATTCAACTGACAAACAGTTTTTTACCTGAAAAAAACTCTCAAAACCTAAATCAGACATACAAATTATTTCCCCAACAGACAAATCATACCCTAGCCTAAATGAGACATACAAATAAATTTCCTTGACTGACATATCACGACTAAGCCTATATCAAACATAAAATCATACATATGGAAATACATGATTTAAAAAAAAAATCTTTAGAGACATAGGATACAGACATA